TTATTTATCATTATAAAGAAAGAGAAATAATTACAGACTTCTATATATATATTAATAATATAAATAATATATAAGTATAATATAGAAGTCTACGAAAATAGTTTTTGGAAAAGTACAATCAATGTCTGATTGTTTATAAATAAATGATATATAAGATAGACTTACAATATATTTTATACAAAATATGTATATATGTATGTGTAAATTAGAGATTTTTATTGTTAAAACTTACTTAATCTTTATTGTACTGTTCTATTATTGATGTATACTTTAATGCAGAAAAGCATGCTTATTCCTAATTAAAACCAATCCAACCTAAAAAATCAAGATCACATAATTCAAAGAACTGATTAGACAGATATTGTTGTGAGAAATATGTGCTACTCAAAATAAATTAAATTGGTTAAAATACAAGATATTTTCTATTTTTTAAAGTGTTTTCCATAATATGTTCATATATTTGTAATATATTTTTAATTGCTCACAATATAACTTTATCAAAAACGATAAATTTTATATAATACAAAAAATCGTGCAATAAGTAATTGGCACTTGATAAATAATAATAATCAATATAGTAGCACAGAAAATAATATAGCAATTAAAAAATATAATTGATTCTCGATATTTAACTTGCAGTATAAAATTACTACTTGCAGTTAGCATTCAAATCTGTTATAGAGAGAGAGAGAGAGAGAGAGAGAGAGAGAGAGAGAGAGAGAGAGGATCCAATGTAACACATATTCACAAAGAAAAAAAACAAGAAAACACAGGAAAGCAATAAGAAAACAATATTTTGGATAAATTGATATTTAGTCAATATTTTTTATAACTGAGAGAAGCTCTCAAACATCTCTTAGATCCAATTGTGCATTGTGTTGCATTACGTACGCGTTATGTGTGCTTACGTGCACGTTATGTAAAAATGTACAAATAACTACTTGGTCGCGAGAGTATAACAACAACTATATATCAATGTTAAATCTGAGACGATACACAACTACTCAGGGGATAGGAATGCGTCGTCATGCCAGGAGAAGCTTATTAGGCCCGAAGTTTTCCGATCGGCAGCGAGCGAGAAAACCCGCGGTTTCGCGGGTCTCGTGACGCGCGCGAAATCGCGAAATGATCGCAGATTCGGTTAAAACGAACATTACCGCGGCTGTGGCTGTGTGACTGGCGAAGTGGAATCTCGTGAAATGGCTGGGTGGCCGGCAGAATGAGTATCCCTCGATGACAGGCCAGAGAGACTACTACTGATCGGTGCGTCTCCACTGCGCGTGTTCCCGGCTTGTTTCTCCGACAGATTCCGGAGTCCACTCCAATACGTCGTTTGCAAGTACGAGTCTAAGGATAAACTTGCCGGAATCGCTCGCAATTTTTGCACTAATACCGGTATTCAGGAACTGACCTCTTGCCGAAATCACTGACACACGAGTAACACGCTCATTTTACGCCATATTTTCTCGGACGGCGCATCTCTCGCTTTCGAAAGGTGCTGCGCCCTGCTGTCGTTTTTCAAAGATAACATGCCAGGGAGCACAGTATGTAGTATGTACGATCGTGATTATAACTAATTGTAAGTTCGTGGCGATCGTGGCGTAGAGGGTTGAGTGTCCGCTCTGTATGACCGAGGGCTCGGGTTCAAATCAGTGATGCCAGAAACGGGTCCCGCGGCTCACGGCTCAGCAATGGAAGGGGTAACGCACACAAGTGCTTTATTCGTGAAACATATTCCAGAGTCTGCTTTTCGTAATAAAACAAAACCAGATTTTATAGTAGATATCTATCTAAAAACGCTTTTCTGTCAAACAAAACTGGTTAAAATCCAACCGGAATTTTTTTTTTTTTTTTTTTTATTGAAAGTATAAATGGCGCATGCGCCTTGAGCATCGGCCATTAGGCCATCTTGCTTTCTGCACAGCGCTAAGTATAAATACCATTATACATTATGATAAATTGACTATTAGTAATAAAATGATTATAATGCACCAAATCTTAAAAATAAGATCCAACCAGAATATTAAAAATTTATTCGATCGCCAGCTCTCTCGGCAATAGTATAAACCACCGAGGAGTATCTTTTGTCCAACAATCTTTCTAATATGATCGTTTGGATTTGGAAACACATTTTATAAAGAGAAAAATCGATTTGCATACTTTCATTAATTGTTTTTCAGATAATTGTTTAAATATACTCTTTTTCACGTGTGCCTCCCTCTTCTTTTAAGAGGAGAAAATTAAAAGATTTGGAGGCACAGGCGAGGAAACGCATACATTGAGTCAATTTATCTGAGAAAGAATTAATAAAAGTTATGCAAACCATTTTTTTTTTAAGTTATAATACTTTTACTAGATTATGACAATCTACATAAAATGTTTTCAAAAGTATAAGTATAATTATATATTATAATTATACGACTTTCGAAAATATACATATATATATAGGCGCATCGGGCAAGAATAATGAGTTGGAAGAGTTGGAACAATCTGTTTACTCTTTCACTTGTGACCTTCCTGCCAGAGTTGGTTCTTTTCGCGCGATTCTTCAGCCTTATCTCTAAAAAGGGTTTCAATATCTATTAACTTAAATCTTTAACGCAATCTCGCAACAGATTTTAGATTTGCAGAAATATTCTTTATTTTTACAATCATCAGAAATCAGATGCAATTATATAAATCTAATGCGCTAAATTTCGGCGCGCTTTTCGGGTCTTTTAGACGAAATATTTTAAATAATCCTCCTTCACCTATTGAGCAAACTTTTTCTCCAATTGTGCATACATTTGAAGAGCTTGTCGGTTTTTTCTATCGGCAATATAAAAACTCTCAGCTAATTTTGCAAGGCTTTCGTTAAGGTTTTTGTGCTGCAAACCTCTACCATCTGCAGCAAGACGTTTATCCAAAGGAATTGTATAATCCTAAAATCAAAAACAACTTCATTTAATCAAAGAAATCAAGTTACATACATTTTTTATTATATATCAGTATTATTTCTTTCATATATATTGAGGTATATTGGACAAACAATTTTTCTAACTACCTCTGCATCAAGTATTGCCAACATATTCCTTCTTATTTCCTTGCCTTTCATCCTTATCCTTTTATTCTCAAGTAAATATTGTGCAACATGTATCTCCGGAAATTCTCCTCCGTCTCCAAAATCCTATGGATAACGTATATGCATTATACTTTAGAACATTGAAAGTATCATTCCTTATTACATCTTTGATTTAATCAAATAGAAAAACACTAATGAATTGTATTGATAAAACAAATACTTTTTGAAATTCTTTGGCAAATTAGAATAAATATACTTTGAAGAAGACGGGCTATTTAAGAGCCTCGCGCAGTAGGCTAAGCGCAAATTCTTGTTAAATTTTTTTATTTATTATTTAACTGTACGTTTCGGACCATCTTCGGCATAGATTATCTATTATTAATCTATGCTGAAGATGGTCCGAAACATAGGACCGAAACGTACATTTAAATAATAAACCAAAAAATTTAACAAGAATTTGCGCTTAGCCTACTGCGCGAGGCTCTTAATTAGCCCGTCTTCTTCAAAGTATATTTATTATCAGAGCCTATTATTGTAAATATTTTGGAATAAATACTCACTTCTGGATTGTGCGGCACCCATCCTCTCCGCTGCGCATAAGGGGGGGCTGTGACAACGGCTTCATCAAGTGCCGATGAGACAGGTGTTTGGTGCAATTCTTGCTCATGTACTTCATCGTCTTTGTCCCACATCATTTGAGTGAAAACAGGCAATAAACTAATTACGAAAAAACAAAAAAACTGTTACAATAAAGGGGACAAGTGTACGAGTCTACAAGTTTCAAACAAGAGAATATAAACAAATTGGGTTTAGGTTTAGGTTAGGTTATATCTATTGGAGTGGAGTCCTCCCGTAGGAAGGGCGGAATCCTACATTGTCCGCGTGTATTTTATAACATGAACTATTAACTTGTGTCTAACCTAAATAGTCGTCACCTTTAACTATATTGGAGACCTCTCGCGGTGACAATGCGAAACTCCGACTTCAGGATTACCAATCTGAGAGATAAATTCTCGATCTCTATGTAGAGGTGTATGTCCACATACGTACACACACGATTGAATTGCTCGCGTGGACGCACCGTGGAGAGAAAAGATAGAAAAGGATCAACGATCACGTTATCCTTGTTCCTCTAGCGTATCGCTTTATAGCCGAAATACGGCCTGAAAATGCTTTTTGGCCTCTCGTGGCAAAAAACAGTAATGCAACTAGGCTAACAAGCGCCCACTTTTTGTAAATTTTATATTTGTTTATGCACATTTATGCGTATATATGTATCAATAATATCTAAAAATTATATATATGATTAAAAATTGTATGACGATAAATAATAACAGTAAAATAATAACTCACAGAGTGAACTAATATACAATATGTAAAACACGGGCACTTATTAGACTTGGCAATTTATTGCTTTTTTACTTGTTGCTTTTTCATAGATACTTTATGTGTTGTCAGCATGATAGAGCGACAAGGAGAGAACAATTGTTAATTCTTGGCTTACATTATCTTTCAGTAATTGCAAATTTATAGACCGACAAGTATGCTATCTTGATTTCTTTTCGATTATATCGATATTATCGCGTAAAAATATCTGCTACATAAATACTGATAATATGAAAGCATGTACAAGAAATATGTGATGGCTCAGTGCAAGAGTGTTCAATCCATAGACATAGTATATCTAGACCGAGCGTTTGCCTTTATTTAAGGTGTGAGGGTAAAGGTGCACGTAGAAAAGGACATACTCTGTTTCGTGCCCCTTGCGTTCTCTCTCGCTCGCACGTAGCATGACGAAAGAGAGCGCTATGCTCTGTGCGAGCGAGAGAGAACGCAAGGAGCACGAAACAGAGTATGTCCTTTTCTACGTGGGCATCGGCCCCCACTCCTCAAATAAAGGCAAAC